CCTTGTGTAGCCATTTGCACCTGTGCAAATTGCACCACATCATCAGCCTTGATATGGCCCATTTGTGCCTCTTTGATGATGCAGCAGGGCCATACAGCCAGTGTAAGCAGCCTCCTGGGGATTTCCACTGTGTGAAGGAATCCTTGGGGAGAGGGACAGGGAAGGCCTATGTAACCAGCAGTACCCACTGCACCTTGTGGAGACCAGCATAGGAGCTGTGTTGGGGACATTGCTGGCTGTGTGTCTTGCCAGCTGCCTGAATGGATCCTTATGGCTCTGCTGCCAGAATGGGCTATTGTAAAACCACCTTCGTCTTCCTGCCATCAGCTGCACCGGGTGCTGCTCTCGCACAGCTGAGGATTGAGCCTAGTGAGTGCAAAAGGGCTGCAAAAAGCTACCAAATCAGAAATCACCACTTAGCTTATACTGCATGTAGCATTGGACATCCATGGAGTGCTCATTTGACACAGAGATTAATGGCTACACAAAGTATAAAGCAGTTTAGAATCAGGCCCATTAGTGCACTCCTAACAACACATCATCCTGGAATGTTGTGTGGCTAACACAATACTATTATTTCCGGATGGAGTCCGGGGCCTTAGGAACTGCAGCTTTCCAGGATTGCTGGCTACTTAATAACTCAGGGGAATAAAATAACCTCTCCCCCCATCTCAAAAATAAAGACAAAAAACGTGTTGGCTGTTTGTATTGCACTGAATTTGTTTCTTTAATTAAAAACAGCCTTGGAGATAGAGTTCCTGCCTGGAACCCCAGAAAGGTCTCACTGGGCAAGTCAGCTGTTTGGGGAAACATACTGGGCCAGCATCTCTGCTGTGATCAGCTTCTAGTTACAGTTCCTTGATTCTGCATCCCAGCCCTAGCACAAGCTAGAGCAACCTGGGCATGTCCTCAAAGAATGGTGCTGTGGCTGGGCATGAACTCCAGTTACTTCTCCTTCTCACCTCTCTCTGTCTGTGACATTCTGCGCCGCTATGTTTGCTCTGCAACCACAGGGGACTCCCCCACCCGAGGGATATCTTCAGACGCTGAGTTACAGGATGACTCTGCTCCGCTTGTGCCAGCTGAATGGTGAAAAGGGACTGGAGCAGGTCAGAGAATCTGGCCCACTCTGGGAATCTCTGCTCTGAGTCCCCCTGGCTTCCGGCTGGGATTTAGAACTTGTCATTTCTGCCATCAGCCTGTTTCTTGTTCTGCTCCTGCCCGGGGGCAGACTCCCAGGCTTTACAGTAACTTAGTTTCTTACCTTTCTCTCTCTCTTCTCTGAGTTTAGCAGCAGCGTCTCTGAGGTTGATCTGAGTGAAAACATCTGTGGTTACTTCTACCGCAGCAATTTCACCATAGAATTGCATCAGGAGGTTCTTCGTGTCTATCCTATCAGCATTCTCCAGCTGACCTCGGGGGATGTTACCTTTCCCCTCAAAGTCAGAGTGTGATAATTTGTCTTTAAATCTTTTGAACTCTTCCTGAGACAGGTTGTCGAGGGCTCGTATGAGTAGATCACTTCTCATACAAGCAGTGAGATTTCTGCTGCTTCGGTTTCCCATCCGTGGGTATCAGGAAACAAAACTAAAATACAAAGTACATTTCTGTTAATAATTAATATGGAATAATCACAATATTTCCCATGTAGAAAAAAGCAGAGCAATACTGGAGCTTGTAACTCCTCAGTGCTTTGCCTCACAAAGGACTCACTGAACTTCATCTCGCTCTGTGCCTCAGTTTCTCCCTTTATAAAGTGAGGATAATCGTACAGCTCTAGCATACAGGGGAGTTGTGCAGCTTAGTTAATGTATGCAAAGGCTGTTGAGGATCTAGGATGAAAGGTGCTATAATATCTATCATTGACATGGCTTTCAGAACACAGAGATGGGATCCCCCTAATTTAAAATATTTCAGAAAACAACCCAATACAGTCTGGAACCTGTACATCACAGTCCTAGAGTATGAGAACATGTGTACTGAGACCCCCTGTTAGCTTCACATGGCCTCAGGAGGGTTTTGGATACCAGAGCAGCAAGGTGAAGGGTAACAACAGTAACTTCTGATATACTGACTAGGGCCCATTCTGACAGGTCCCACAACCTGAATGTGTAAACTGTAACGTGTTCAGATTAGAAGTAGTCTATCACCAGAGAATGATATATTTACCGTTAGCCAGACTGCTATTAGAAATGTCTGGTAACTCTCATTTGATTTGTTCTCTCAGTCTTCTCAATGCTCAAACACAGATGACAAGAGGAACAGGAAATTATTTGCTCAGTTTATTTCTGCAGTAAAGTCAAAGTAACATATCTCCAGTCAAAGCTGACCTTCAGAGCTCTCTCAATTTCTCTAGCAGGCCTCATATTTTTTTTCAGCCTTCCTAGCACTAATTGCGCGCGCGTGCACACACACACACACCTCTTTTTGTCTGTTTATTATTCCTCTTGGAAACTTCCCTTTGGGACACACCCCTTTGGCCTCAGCAGTTTGCACATGTGTTTTCTGCGACTAGTGATATCACAAACTCCATAGACGTGTTCATCTCCTTCCCCCTCCCACACACTCTGTACTGGAGGAAAATAAAATACCCAGATTCAAAGTAGTGTAGAAGCTTTAACCAAGACAAATAAAAAATGTATAAAGTACAGAGTGTGATAGAGAATGGGGAACGGTCTCTGCATCTGTTAGATACGCAAGTAACAGTGATATCAGTAGGCGGTGGGGCGTAAGTCCTTCTCACTCTCGTTTTTCTGAGGGGGCAGAATCATGATTTTAAATTACAAATCATGAAAACAGGGTTTTTAACAAAAATAAATTGAGCAGAACTGGATCTTCATGGACCAGGAATTTCATACACTTAAAAAATGAGCATGAAACAGCTTTACATGTCACTTTTAGAATTATGCAGGAGTTGTTGCTTGACAAATGGAAGGGAAGAGGAGGCATTGCTGATACACCCCTGTGAGATTCTTTATTGCCATTGTCTTTCTAAAGTAAACTCCTTTATTCCATCAAAGATTTGCTCCTCTTTGGGTGCAAAGCCCCCAGAGCTGACTCCTAACTTGACACCCTGCACCATTTGGGGCTTTGTGTTCTCATTTTGGTTTCTGTTACAATAAGAATTTATCACATTTGTTGTTTTCGTTTGCAGTCCCCAGAAACTCCTGTCCCTATTCAGAAGTGGGAACAGGACATTCACTGTTCATTTCAGCAGAGCAATGAGAAGAATGGTGACAAGGAATCCGTGGGTCCCTCTCTGCTTAGGAGGGTCCCAGAATGGGGGGTTTCTGCCTGGTTGACAGCCGGGGCCCGATCCTCCCCTAGGGTAAGTCAGCACAGCTCTGCTGACATCAGTGGAACCATCCTCATTTACACCAGCTGAGGATCTGGCCAAGGATAGGGTCTCTGCTGAAAAGGACAGAGGGGCTGGGAAGAATGCCAGAAGGTCAACTGTATGTGGGTCCCCACATGAGGGGCTTCAGAGGAGGCCTGGATTTCCTTGTATCAAAACTCTGGGCAGAGTGACTAGTATAACCACTGCTGCAGAGACCTCATCTGTTGAATATGGTGAGGTGAGTGCGATGGCTCCTCTTTCTGCTTGGTCTCCTACTGTGTCCATTAGCCTGTACTCACAACTCCAGCCCAGACAGACTCCCCAGGACACCTCCTTCAGGAACAGCTCTTATACACATGCAGCATACTCCCATTTATCCAAAATCCTGTTCTCTGAGCCACAGCACTATCCAAATTCCTTCCTTGTCCCCCAGCCTGAAATACACCCCCTCTGCAGCATGTATCTCAGAGGTTCGGGTAATAGTGCAGAGACCTTCTGCCTGCAGGTGAGCGTGTGTCATCAGCCTCATGGCACTGCAGGGAGCCCTCTGCAGACCCATTGTCATGAGTGAGTAGGACCATGACAGCAAACCTGCAGAGAGCTCCCTGCACTGCCACAGGATCACTGACACCTGATCCCTCCAGGTGCAAGGTGCAGAAGGGAGGCTGTGGTCCTAGAGGTGCAGAACAGAGAACCCCGGCCAGGACTCTTCTCTGACCTGCCAGGAGTGCAGGTGCAAAGTGCAGGGATCAGATGTCACTGGCACTGTGGCAGCGCAAGAAGCCCTCTGCAGTCCCGCTGTCCCGGGAGTGAGCGAGCAGGGCCATGCCCTGGCCTCTCAGATATCCGAACTCCTGATTATCCGAATAATCTCTGTGTCCCCCATGCTATTCGGATAACTGGGAGTACACTGTCATACATCAAACAAATAAACCCTATGTTAAAAGACAGTTATGTTACAAAGTCAAGCAGTCAAAAGGCTGAGTTCTGCCCCCTGGTACGTCTGCACCAAGATACAGCCTTTGGTCACAAACCATTTTCTCACAGGACCCTGCCTCATTCACTGAATGGACAGTGAGTCAATATTTCTTTTCACCCTCCTGATTCAATGTGTGGCCCCAGGTGTTATTCCACATGCAACACGCAATCCCTGCATTGAACACAGAATTACACT